GTGGTGAATGACATTACGAGTATCTTAGATAATAAGCAGAGTTGTGCAGCTCTATTTATTGACCTGTCCAAAGCGTTTGACACCGTTGATCATCGCATCTTAAAGCAGAGGCTACTCAGTATTGGCATATCCAGCCATGCAGTGGGGTGGTTTGTGAACTACCTCTCTGAAAGGTCCCAATCTGTTCACTTTGATGGGCTGTCTTCTGAGTGGTTAAACATTACTAATGGTGTTCCTCAAGGTTCTGTTTTAGGTCCACTTTTATTCTCTAGTNTGCGCAATCGCACAACGGCACGTCCATTAATTCCACAACCACACACATGGATTAACATCGATTTAGTACATTAATGTAGCCTTTGTGGGCAACAAGAAAATCGGCAAAATCGAGTGTGACTATTAAAAAATAAATAATTATTATATTAATATTGACAATAACAACCGACCGTCGGGGTAGCATTTGCCGGGGAGCGTTCTCATGGCGTCCATTATCAACGCTATGGGAGGTCTATGAAGGTCGATGGGTAGCCCTGCCCATTGAAAACTGACTTCCAAGGGGTACCCTGTACGTCAGAGTGACGGGCAGGGAGTGAGAACGTGTTGCTGTTTGCATTGAGACATATTTATCATGCCTCTTAAGTATGGATTTTAACCCATAACTGTTCAAGGATGGCATTGAATGTGGGTCTCCTCGATCTTTCCTCGAGTCCTTATAAGAGTTCTTACTATTCCAACAGTTGATGAAGACCGTTCAACCCCGATATTTTGATAAAGTACATTATCTGAAATATCAATTGAGAAACCATTAAAGGATAAAATAGCCAGGCTTTAACGTCTGTTTTGGCTAATCCCGCAAATCAAAGTACTTTATCATATACAGGTCATGGTAGGACCGTTGACAAATTCATACTATCTCATTTAGGGGTAGGTCGATGTTGAAACGCCCCTTTGATGATAGAAAAACAGCGATATACAAAATCACTGTCCACAAATAAAACTCAGAGAAACTCTCTCTGGAGGGTACACTTTGAAAGGTCCCAATGTGTTCACTTTGATGGGCTCACTTCTGAGTGGTTGAACATTGTTAATGTTGTTCCTCAAGGTTCTGTTTTAGGTCCACTTTTATTCTCCATCTATATCAACAGTTTAGGTGATAATGTGGATGAAGCAACTTTACATTTTTATGCGGATGATACCGTGATGTATTGTGCAGGTCCCTCCATTAAGGAGGTTGGTGTTAAATTACAGGCTGTTTTTAACATTATTCAGACTCAGCTCTCTGAACTAAAGCTTCTTTTAAATGTTGATAAAACCAAGGTAATGCTCTTTTCTAAAGCTGAAAAGACTACAGACACTGCTTTGGATATTGTTACTATGCAAGGACAAGTACTTGAAGTGGTTACCTGTTATAAATACCTTGGTATCTGGCTTGATGATTGTCTTACTTTTAAACTTCAGGTCATTAATCTGCTTAAAAAGCTGAGGGTTAGACTAGGTTTCTTTTTCAGAAACAAGTCCTGTTTCTCACTTGAAGCCAGGAAAAGGCTAGTCACTGTGACCTTTTTACCTGTGCTGGACTATGGTGATTTGATCTATATGAATGCACCTGCCTATTGCCTGGAAAAGTTAGATGCCGCCTATCACAGTGCCCTGAGATTTGTTACTAACTGTAAAGCACCTACTCATCACTGTACCCTGTATGCCAAGGCAGGTCTGCCTTCACTAACTGCACGGAGGCTCAGTCATTGGTACATGTTCATTTACAAAGCCATGTTGGGTAAACTACCTTTTTATAACTGAATTGAAAGTACTTATTGCCTGAGATCTCATGATGTTGTTTTATTAAATGTGCCAAGTGCTAGGACTGTCTTAGGGAAGAAAGCTTTTAGTTGTGCAGCTCCACTAAATTGGAACAGTCTGCAAACATGTTTCAAACCGAGCACTTTGGTTCCCCTGCATCATTTGAAAACTTGGCTGGGTGACATGCTGTTTGATACTCATGGTACCTGTCACTGTGAATAGAGTTTGTAAACTGTACTCTGTACATTATGTTGTATGTCATCCTTATTGTTGTTCTGTTGTTTTTATGTTACATGTGTAACTAACGTCCTGCAGGTCAGCCTTGAAAAAGAGATCTTTTGATTTCAAGGGGCTTTCACCTGGTTAAATAAAGGCTACAAACAAACAAACAACACTGTACAGGAAAGGGAACACCCAACAAGCTGAATGGGGCCTCTGTAAGGCTTGAATGGGACATTTGAACAAACTTAGAACTTTTATGACTAAACATTAGGAGAATTTAATGTGAAAAGCCTGACTGAATACAAAATAGAATGTGGTTAAAAAAACCAAAGGAGAAAAAAGGAATCAGGGTCATGTGATTTGAAGACTCTTACAGACAGCACAGTGCGGGGGATTACATTATTTTTTCACTAACAAGCGCATTAGGGAATTTACAGTGGTCTTAATCTGCTCATAATTAGCGACGGCATGGAAAGAGACGAGGTCCTGCTGGGCCGGCCAGCCAGGGCTGACAGTAATGTCTCAGGACAGAGTCACGAAGCTCGGCAAACAGGGCTGAAAACAGGTTGTAAAAATGGCTAAAAATGAAGTTGAAATCCCATTTCTTTCAAAGAAAAGTTACGGTAAAAAATGTCATTCAAATCATAACAGAACGGCGGCGACTTCTTAGTTTTACTGTTTAATACTGTAACACTACTTCCTACATCTTATTTTCTTATAATACTGCAACTTGAATGTGGACTTTTGTATATTGTGTATTCAAGTTATTGTGGTTGCTTTTTAAAAGAAACACACACACTCAAGATTTAATATCAAAGCCAGGGAACGAAAAACATTTACAATTGATTTAATCAGCTCGGAAACATTGTTGAATTCCCCAATCTGTCATTGATTCACTTACTACTGCACTATGAATGAACATGGAAAGTTAAACAACCACCAAAAAAACACCTTTTTTTACAGGAACTAGTAATTGTAACAGAATATACATTTTTTTAAGAAACCCTCCAAACCCTGTACTTGAGTTAAATGTCTATAAAACAAAACGTATAGCAACTGGCATGCTAATTGACATGATGACGTATCAATGACATATTATTGGTTTTAAAGTGTAAATGTGGACAATGCCAACTTGCTAATAATCATGCAACAATACGACCGGGACAACACATATAATGTTGGTTGTATTTCTGCTACTCAATATAGTTGATACTTTAAGGATTTGGAAATTCGGTAGCACATTTTTTGTAGCTTTCAACCCGATTGATAAGCACTCTATAGAGGGAAAACATGATAAGGCATTCAAAAACTGTCCCACTAACAGAGGTGATGGGAAGTTACTTTTTACTACATTTACTCAAGGACTGTACTAAAGTATAATTTGGAGGTACTTGTACTTTACTAGTAGTTCCATGTTATTCTACTTTGTACTTTTCTTCCACTACATGTATTTAATCCCTTTAGTTACTTCACAGATGTGGATGAATGATGTGAAATCTAACCAAGTGTTAAATCAGACTTTAGTTCCACCTGGAGTAAATCCACAAGCTACCCTGCAGTATACAAAGTCATTCAAACTAGCTGCACCTTTACCAGCTTTGAGAACACTTTAATGATCAATCATTATAAAACATATCATATATATTATTCTGAAATGGACCAATCTGCACAATGACTACTTTTACTGTCGCTACTTTCACTATATTTTGATGATAATACTTTCATACTTTTACTTGAGGAACATTTTGAATGCAGGACTTTTACTGTAACAGAGTATTCCTACACTCTGTTACTTCTACTTTTACTCAAGTACAAGATCTGAGTACTTCTACTTTTACTCAAGAACAAGATCTGAGTACTTCTACTTTTACTCAAGTACAAGATCTGAGTACTTCTACTTTTACTCAAGTACAAGATCTGAGTACTTCTACTTTTACTCAAGTACAAGATCTGAGTACTTCTACTTTTACTCAAGAACAAGATCTGAGTACTTCTACTTTTACTCAAGTCAAGATCGAGTCCACGAGTACTTCTACTTTTACCAAGACAAGATCTGAGTACTTCTACTTTTACTCAAGAACAAGATCTGAGTACTTCTCCCACCTCTGCCCACTAATTTGAAGTCTTGTTATTGCGTCTGAGTTGATCTCTCCGTGCTAGGTGGCCGCTGTTAGCAATGCTAATCATCTCCGTCACCAGTGGAAAGAATGTGAGGATTGGTGAGGCTAATTCCTTTTTGCCTCCACAACTGTAGAGAGTGCTGCTAACCTCTGATGGACGCTGCTGGGTCAATGACCCGTCAGCTAACAAAGGGGCCGTGTCAGTGGAGCCTCAGACAATAGACGTAGCGTTAGCATCAAACCCTGTGGCCTGAGCAAAGAAGCATATAACTCAAATGCTGGCTAGCTAGTTACAATCTGTCTCTAAAACACCACAGAATACTACAGAAACACACATATTGGGATTATATCTCTGTACTGTGCATGACATGCTCTAATAACTTCATACTGTGTACTTTGCACATTACTTGGACTATTTTGCTCAAAATATGACTTCTAAAAACAACACAACAGACATTTTACATGTTATTTAATTTAATATGCCATTTGTGCACACAACATGTAAACCATATCCTACTTTTATTTTGTGTTAGCTGTAATTTGCACTTCAATTGTGTTTTATTTGTCAGATAATTTACAGATTTGTACTCATGTTCAACTTCAACTATTTTCTTTTTTTTAGTTTAGTTTTATTTTCTATTTTGAGATGTTTCTATTGTATATTTGTTTATTTTCTACCCTTCTAATTATGTGCAATACTTTGTTTTACAGCTGCTGCAACGAAAATGTTTCCCATTTTGCGACGAATAAATTATATCTTATCTTATATTTGAATTACTAGTTCAATCAATACAAACAACATATATATTGGTTTAATGATTTCTGCTCCTCAGCGGATGTTACAGATGAACAACAATTCAGATAAAAACTGTGTTGATGTTTTGCAAGGCCATTGAAAAGGTAAAATAAAGGGACAGGAATGTTGCTATCAGTTTGTCTGAAACCCAGGTCAGCTTTAACAGTATGACCTTCCACCCAAAGACAATGAGCTTTGAAGGGTCAAAAAAAGGGAAGGGGTCAACGAGAGACAGGTACAAAACATTCCCAAATGCTTAAATTGGACAATAACACCAGGACAAGAGTGCAAAAACATGTCTAGGCATAGCTAATGATTTGTTATATTGTATAGAAAAATGCACATGGACAATCAGATTTTCACTAGAGGCTTAAAATGGTCAAAATAATTATCAAGGAGCATTTTGGGGGGGGGAATAAGTCAAGTTGACAGTCACTAACCGCTACTTTGAAGATTGAATAAAATACCCCTCTTTTCTTTGGCAAATGACATTAAATTGGGAAAGAGTGGTCAACAGTCATTAACCGCTCAGTAACTCCCAAAACACACAGATTTCTCACCGCTGTTGAAAGTCTGGAGGCCAGCGTCATCTCCAGGTTGCCTTTGAGTCCCAGCAGTGCAGGAACCAGGATGAACACCTCGTTCACCTCCTTGAACACCGTCCAGTGCTGCAACGGCCAAAACGCTATGAGTAACAAACATCCCATAAAGGACACACTGCCATATTAAAACAGGACCTATCAGATTTACAACGTCACCTAGAAAGGAATCCTATTTGGGATGTGACCTTGTTTTGAACCCTCCTGTTGTCTTCGGGTCAAATCTGACCGATTTATTCTACTTTTACTCAAGTACAAGATCTGAGTACTTCTACTTTTACTCAAGAACAAGATCTGAGTACTTCTACTTTTACTCAAGTACAAGATCTGAGTACTTCTACTTTTACTCAAGAATTAGATCTGAGTACTTCTACTTTTACTCAAGT